ATATATATTTGTGCTGATAAGCCTGAGTGGTCTATTGACTGACCTTAATATTTGTTCAAGTAATTGTTATGGGCAGGTTACAATATTAAAATTGTTTGTCATAATCATGTCTTGTGATTATTTGACAGGAGTTTTACTTTTGAACTGTAAGTGTATTTAATTTAGTTATGTTAGTTGTGATAGTTTAGATATGATGTAAATATAATAAAAATTAAACCAAGATTTAGAATAATTATCATTTTGATCCATACATTGCTAATGTCTGACTGGGCCTCGTGTCACTTTATGTTCAACAAATTGGGCCCCGAGGTCAAAAAGGTTAAGAACCTCTGGTTTAGAGGAACTAAATTTGACAGGTCTACCAAGCTAACAGTAGCTGCGTTTCCATAGCAAATGTGCGCAAAACTTTGCCGATATTCTGTTAATGAAAAAAAAAACAGTTTCGCAATTGCAGTATTTCCATTAAGTAAGAAATGCTAAAAAAAATCACGCGTGAATATGTTTGTTCTCACGATAAGTCATTACAAACATGGCGGCAATGTATCTAAACACATAGCATGTTGCTAACACGACACTAGCGCTCATCATCAGAGGAGACATCGGCGTGTTTTATCGAGGCTTTCCAGTGACAAGCCCCTTATATTTGGGAGCGGCTCCGTATGCTGTGTTTTTTGGGAAATTGTAGTCGGTGAGTTTACTACATTTTTTCACTACTTCAGTGATTTTACTACTACTTCTACTTCATGTTGTCTTCGTCGTCGTCTTTGTAGCCAGTAGAAACAGCCGGTTCTTGATCATGTGACTCCCGTGATGCGAAAAAGTTTTTCCATTGCAGTTTTGCAAAACACACCAATTTCGATACGGCCGAAAAACCACCTCTTCCTAGTGCAAAAACATTTGGTCGAAAGTTTTTTTTTTCGAAATTGACGTGTTTCCATTGAGCTAATTTATTTTTGAAATTGTAATTTGCTCATTTTCATGGTCAATGGAAACACAGCTAGTAGCTGTGTCCAAATTCAGGGGCTGCATCCTTTGAAGGTCAAATTTGTCGTCTGATTACGTCACTGCGCCACGCAGAAGCCTGTCCAAATTCTAAGACTCCTTTAATTGCGGCTCACAAATGTGTCCTCCCTTTGCTTCGATTTAAAGTGCAGGTCTGGTGCATCCTTCTCAGCCCGCCATATCCCAAGATGCACTACGTACCGACTGGAGATTTATTCATCCCTGTGGTCTTAAATCAGCTACACCCTAACGTTTTACAGCTGTTCAGGCGTCACCATCAATGTTTATTTTTAAACAAGTTATTTACAAATAGTTTTGTGGTGGTTTATGAGCACAGATGGCAGCAGCAGCAGCTAGCTGTATTACGTCTGTGTAGCCTGTTTTGGCAAAAATTAATTATTTCAGACAAAGTGAGCATGAAATGAAACAAACATTAAGCTCAGATCCAAACCGAGCAGCATCTGCCTCAGGCCTGATAATTAATAATGAACGTACTAACATAAGATGGGTTCATTTCACACTGGCTCAGAAGAAATAAGTTAAAATGATGTTATCATATAAACCGCTGCATGTTTTTCCAATAGCTTTTATTTATTCTTTTATTTTTCCTCAACTTTTCATGGTTATAGATTAACTTTAATGAACCGTGTTCAGGTTGGAATCTCCTCACCTGCAGGGGGTAGGTTCTGTCCGAGTCAAAGGCGCTTAGATCACCACATGCCAAAAAAGGAACGATGATACGGTTTGGACCCTCTATCTGGTTGAAGTCCACATCTGACAGACAGAAAGCAAAACTCAGACTGAGGAATAAATAAAATAACTTCAGCAAATGAACCGGAAAACTTTGAGTGAATTTTAATGAAACTGTCGTCTTCTTTCGTTTCTTTTTTTTTTTAATCACTTATAGCGAGTCTTGTACAAAAATATGTTTTTATGAAGGTATACACAGATTATAATACCACTGCTTTAGTAAATCACAGTCTAAATATTGTTTAAAGCAGAAAACCATTTCAAGCAGATAATCCTACATTGAAACATGTATTATTGATGACTCCATTCTGCCCTCATAGTTACCATAGGACTGGTCCAGCAGAGGGTTGGACATGTTGGGGACATAACCCTCAGGAGGTGAGTAATTCTGACACACCACAAAGGCCTCTGCAAGGAGAAACACAACATGTCTGTAGTTGAGAAAATCCTCAACACGATGTCACTGAGACACTCTGTCCTCAGCTTCCTGTGCTCCACATTCAGTGTGTTACACACCATGACACCAAACAGTCCTGTGACTACTTGTCAGCCTTCAGACAGACAGAGACTGATTACAGGACACACCTGAGTCCAACTGTGGACAGATTAGTTCTCGGGGCAATTCTTTGTTTCATTAGTTTGTACATATACTGTAATTCTGTCCACCAAAATTCAACGTCAGTGACTGATTTTCATTTGATGGTTTTAGTAACTTCTTTATTTTTATTACTTTGTCAGTTTTAAGTTGTTTAGGTGACCTTTGTGGGCATTTAATTTTTTATAAAAAGGACACAAATACATTTATCCACATCTGAATCTATAGGAAAATGTACATTTGGCTAAAAAAAAAAAAATACAATAAAGATGCAAAGTAAACACTGTAATGTTGTAACTAATTCTTCCCCCAGCCAGGGGAAATATGTTTATTTATTTATTTTACAAATTTTACAAAACGCTAGCACAATTAGAGACTATAATCTGCAGATGATTTCAATTAATCTAGTTTTTATTTGCTATGAGGCAGGAATGAAGGAGGGCATGTGATAGGGTTGAGAGGTTTGATCTTCATAGTCTTCATAGTCACATATAGTCTGTGGAAATTTTTCACCTCACGACTCATACCATCATCATTTTTAAATACCCTCACCATATTTTAATACCACCACGGTATAAAAAAATATCATCATACCGCCCAAGCCTAACACGTGATTCATTTTCTGCTGTGACAGTGGTGACTCACCGATGCTGGAGTTTCTGCTGCTGCGAGGTTTGGCACAGGTCACACAGCTGAAGAAGATCTTCAGCTGAGAGTACAGCAGCGTCACGTCTTTACCACGGAAGATCTGAGACAAGAACGACACGTTAATCTGTCACAACGTCTACGCTGCAGAAACTGCTGTTTACGCTTTGATTCGTGGCACCAAACTTAGGAAGGTTTTGAAGAAAATTTTATTCTGTTTAACACTGATTCTTAAAGGAGACCAATTATGGGTCCTAGAAATGTTTATGGTATGTCTGTGGGCTATCCAGATCATGTTCATTCAATTTAATGCACAAAATAAATTCTCAGATAATAAAATTTCTCATTTTCTATTTCTGCCTGCTCTGACTTCTGTTCAGAAGAGCTGTTTATGTTAATGAGCTCTGTTGGTAACGCCCTCCAAAAATCTGTTGACATTAACTCCGCCCTCCAAAGCCAGTGTTTAAGTTAGCATGGCTAATAATAGCAGAAGCTCCGTTGTACAACCATATGAGACCCAGAGGCAGAGTCGTGGTCCCAGCTTCTTTTTTTCTCTTCCTCCTCTGCTCTGCGCTCACTCTGCATGCTGTTACCAGAGCAGGGAGCAGCAGCGGTCAAAATACCTCAGAAACTCGAACAAATAGGCTTTAACAAGGCTTTAATAAGCTAAACAATAGAGGTACATGAGAAAACGTGTTCATAATGAATGAAAATAAATGATTAAATTGTGTCCATGCCGGTCTCAAACCCTGGTCTCCCACTCTCTGGTCCAGCACTCTACCCATTACCCTATTGGAGGCCTGTTATGAAATGAGCTGCGCATTGTACAACAACAACTGTAACGTTTTTTTATACTGAGGAGGTGGAGCCTCACCCGGGGGTTGCTAGGTGAGGGGCTGAACACAGGTTCTGGTGGGTTGTCGTACGGCTTGTGACATCCCAAAATGACGGAAGTATAAAACTTGTTGTTAATATACATTAAAAATACATTTACTTACAGTAAATATGCCCCTGGGTGCATTTTTTTGGTCCTAGGACTGTTTTTTAATATGTACATACCCAAAGTTGAGTAAAAAAAACCTTTAAAAAAGTGAATTTTGCATAATAGGTCCCCTTTAAATGCCCTACACATTCTCTTTCCTCATTGGCATATCTGAACTATTTTTGATAATCAAATGTGTAATTATGTATTTCTGATGTACTGTGATTAAGCTCTGATTAAAGAGCAGTGTGCGCTCTGTTCTGAGTGACTCGTAACATGGGTCATCTCAGTACAGGCCGTACTTTTTAAAAGAACAGATTAGTTAAAACATGCCTTACACTGAAAAAATAGAAAAACAAATAGTTATTTTACCATATTTCAGAATTCAGAACTTTTTTATGACCAAACTACTTTGCAGGAAGGGCCTTCCATATCAGTAGCTGCGTTTCCATTGCAAATGTGCGCAAAACTTTGTCGATATTCTGTAAAAGTAAAAAAAAAAAAAAGAACAGTTTCGCAACTGTGGTGTTTCCATTAAGTAAGAAATGCAATAAAGTCACGCGTGAATACGTTTGTTCTCGCAATAAGTTATTACAAACATGGCGACGATGGATGTAAACACATAACATGTTGCTAACACGACACTAGCGCTCATCATCAGAGGAGACGTTGGCGTCTTTTATCGAGGCTTTCCAGAGACAATTCCCTACTTGGGAGCGGCTATGTATGCTGTGTTTTTGGGAAATTGTAGTCAGTGAGTTTACTATTTTATACTACTTCTGTGATATTACTACTACTTCTACTTCCTGTTATCTTCTT